CTGAAAGGCAAACATACACTTGATTCATCACACCAAGCGCCACTTACCTCCCCATCAATTGCATCGTCCAGGCCTGCAGAAGGCTCGATATTAGGTTCTTCGAACTCCTCAGGCTTGGCTGCTTCAATCTGCAACAACGGTAAAGAAAAATACGTAATTTGAAATGAAACCATGCTTGCCGTTTCGACATCAACACCGCCTTGATCAAAGTGACACAAAGACATACTTTTGCTTCCTGGAGTGAGTCATCTTTTGGAAGATAGTTTCGAAACTTCAGCGTGCGCCTGCGTTTTGGAAGACACGTTAACACAAGCAGGAAATAGTTGAGAGACGCATAAAGACAGCGCCCGTTTCTACGTACTCTTCTTCCACAGGTATGGATAACTCGGCTGCCTGCCTCAGCGCCTTGAGGCGTTCCTTTCTTTCTGCAGCTGTTTCCATGACTTGAAGATCTGACAAAATTGGCCGCGGAATGTATGTGGTGGGGCGAGATACAGTCAAGGCGTAGATGGCATTCCGATTTTCACCAGTTGTCTTCACTTTATGTTGGAAATTCTCTGGCGTAGGACGATAGCGGTATGCCCCCCACGTTCGCTTTCTGTTGATCTCCAGGAAGGTCTTCCTGACGTGAGACGCTTAACGCTGTCGTGTCGGTGTGGCCCTTACGGTATCGGTACACGTTCAAGTTTCATTTGTAGCTTATACACAATACGATTCGGAACACACGACAGTCGAATGTGCGAGTATGATATTCATATGTTCAATGTTCAATGCTGTGCCATTTTTAATATTCTGGACGCCACGATCATCCTAGATGTAGAATCGTAGCGGTACTGGACGATACGATCAGGGGCGAGGGAAGCCAAGCGCCTAATGTTAAATGTAAAACTAAATGTTAAAGTGTGACACACACGACAGTTCAATACTGTTGTCACAACTCACAAGTCAGTCGGTCGTTCGTTCGGCCGGGCGTCGTATTCGACAGGCATTGTATACGTTCCGCTGGTCGATGTTAAATTGCTCAGATGAAGATTTCCTCGCGGCTAAGGATATAGAGTGGGGTACGGCACCCCGGAAAACTGGTCTCGGAATTGGATTTGGACCATTGGATCGACCGCTACGAGCGTTGACCGTTCCGTTGACTTTTACTATTTAGACCTAATTTTTCCAGCAAATTGATGATTCCTGCGCAGGCATCTGTGGAAGAAGTCTTCACTCACTGAGAGCATATATGAGCTAGGGATATATATCCCTTACATATATATGCTCCCAGTGCGTATGGAGGTTGAGTTTAGCGCGATTCGGGTGTGATCCCATACTTCCGGCTCAAGGAATAGTACGGGTTCACACATTGAGTCATGCAATTTTGCTAAGAAAGTGGGTGCGACGTACACAAGTTGCGCAGTATCAATTTCTTGAAGGTGCTGCAACTTAACGTACGTTCGTATGCCTTGCCATCTATGCGGATGGTTGCCGATACCGGCTTGTGCCCGCTTTGAGCACAAGCCGGGATCGTCGCGTTCACGCACGTAGACACCGTGCGGGCTCATCTTATGATAAATTTTACCTTAAAACAGACCCCAAGGAACAATAAACCGAGGGCAATCAAGGGCAATCAAACGCCTAAGACCGATGAAAAATTTTCAGGGAGGAGCCTCAAAACCGGAAAACCCCTCTTGGAAAATCGCGTTCAGATCTTCACGTAGCGAACCTCAGAGTTTCCAGGCACGCACAAACCTCATGTTCGCATGTTCAGGAACATGTTCTAATATACAAAAATGTTCAAGATAGAATAACATATCCGTGATATATCCTTGAAAAAGGTGCTGAACAGCACCGTTCAAGCAAGTTTGCAGAGCGCTTCTGGAGCTGCGCAAGGTTTTCAGGCCTAAATCTGAGTTTCGAGATCGCGAATTTCATCGCGTTCGATCGGAAAACCCGACCAACGGAATGTATACATTGCGACAGGCGAGGGTTGAGGGTATTGCAGCATGCCCAGCAGATGTCAATATTTGTTTCATATCGATCAGGATTCTAGTCAAGGTATTATCCCAAACACAACATTGCTAATTAGTAATATTCAAAGTAAATAGATGTATTCTCGCGTTCTTCGTATGAGCCTCCTGGCCGTCAGGAAGATGGCTGCTGCGCCTGTCGGAGTGGCAGCGAAGGCATCGACAGCTACTACCGCGGCAAAGTTTCAAGTTTCTTCCTCCTTCCAGGCGCCCTCGTTTGCAATGCGGCCATTTTGTTCGGTTTCGGCGTACTCTGCAGAGGTATTTTTACTTTCTACTTTGGATGCTGGGCTGTCATATCCGTTTAGCGCTGTTTCTTCTTTTACTATTCGCCCTTTCGTCGTGTAGTGGATCACTTTTCTCAGGAATGCGCGAGTTAATTTTCGTCACACGTGCTGCACACTTCGATCCTCGCACAGGTTCCCTCATAGATTCTTAATCATTTTAACGTCGCTTGCGGACGAGATTTTCGTTACCCAGGTTTCCGTCTCGAAGCTTATCGTATTATTCTGTGACATCGTGTTTTGTGAACAGGGGATCTAGGTTTGAAGCACCTACGATTCGATAGCAGAAGATGCGTGCATATTGTGAATGGCAGTTTCGCAACTCAAGCTCCTAGAATCGTCTTGGATATTCTTGACAAATTAGAATATGACCGGGCCTTTTCACTGAATACTTGTTCAGGAAACGCTGAAGTTGGTTTCGCTCCTTCTTGTTCTTGAGCGCACAATCGTGCTGCCGCAGATTGATGCTATCAACGACAAGTTTGCGGAGGCTCGTGATGAGATTGAAATGGCCACGGAAGACGCTGAAACGGTGTTCGCTCGTTAGAAAATTGGCGGCTCTGCACGCACTAAGCCCGCATGAGGAACATTGTACCGTATTTAGAGTTCCAAGCAACTGTGTCAAGTTTTTTCGGAGAAGTGTGTGGTCTGAACCACAACATGTCTTGATGGCATGAGACTGGTTGAGCACACAAGAGTTTTGGCACACTTCACAGCTCATAAGGCTCGAGCTCTTGATTTCCCGCGTGGTAACAGCTGTGTTCGGTATTCCCTATCCGTAGTTAGCTTTGTCCGCGGCGCAGGTATACTTTAACGAGTCCGCTGAGACTGCCCGAGAGGTGACAAACGAATGCATCACCTTATGGAAACAGCTGCTGGAGAAGGTCTCTCCAGAAACAAAAGTGCAGTTGCAAAGGTAGGTTCTAAGATTTGTTTTCCCTTCTCGAGAGTATGCCAAAAATCCTGTACATCCACCGTTTCGCCCCTTCATGACTTGAACTCTGGATGTTTCGCAGGTCGATGGGCTTAAAACTAGAGCAACTGAAGGAAGAGGTGAAATTGTTAGATCATCTCCACGATGATCACTGAGATTTTCCGCGTCCCTCGCAAAACTGTTTCGCTTGTATGGTTATACTGCTAAGCATCGAAAGGAGCTTGACTTTGCTGGTCTCTTACTTGGTCAACTGTTCAAGTGCACAGCGCCGTATTGGTCCGTATTAAACCACTGTTTTCAAATTAAGCGGCTTCATGAGGATTATTTTTTCAGCGAAGCCCTACCGAAAATCAGTCCGTGTGGGTGAAAGCGAGGACTTATTCACTTGCCACTTGCCACATTCGGAACTTCCTTCTTTTGCCTTCCCAAAGTGTCGATACTTAAGAAACTAGGTGAAAGAAAAAGAAAGTAGATTCAATACCCCTCCGAAGAATTTCTACAAATTTCTTCTTTATGGTGAACTCAACATCAGTTTCAAGATGGCTGAAGCAATATTGGTTCCACTACATGGGCTCCACGTGTTGTGTTTGAATACTCGGACACTATTGGACAACACCTCAGATAAACATAGAAACACAGTGAAACAGCTATGTGATCAAAACACCAGCAATACACAGCAGTTGACTCAGTCTTCGCAAAACCCCCTAGACCTCATGTGTCCCGGATCAATCCTTGCAATTAATTCTCATTATCAAAACGAACTGTGGTTTGTGCTGCAGCTAGTGTATTATGGGCGTGGTGACACTCCTAGCCCAGTGCCACAATTCCCGAAAAAAATAATAAATGTGTCAATTTGGTAGATAACGACCTCACAAGCGAAGTGCTCAGATCGAAGAAAGTGAGAGCAGGGCAACCGTTTGTGCACATACGTGTCACTACAAGCGCGACTCAGATATGATGAGAGGGGTAATGAGTTTTTGGGGGAAAATTGTGGTTTTTCCTAGGCCCAATTATATATATTTTTTCGATTTGAACCGAGCCTATCGACCACTTCCCTGGTTTAGAATGTGGCTCTGATGAAGTCAAGTTTGATGCTCGTATTCAAGGGGTAAGCATGCGTTTGCACAGTTTTAGGGAATTGCAAGGTGTGCGCTCAATATGAGCGATGGCGGGCGCATGGCAACGGCAAGCCAAATTCCGTTGCAAGTAGCGTCATGCCTCAAAATGTGCTGAAATTTCACTCGGCACCTTCTAAGACGTTGGAAAGTCAATCTGACACAGGAGGCCTGTACACATCGCAGGGCGGTCCTGGTCCTAAGCACTAAGCAAGGATAAGGAAAACGCTCCCCATGGGTCCGCGCGCAAAAATAGTTCACGCTGACCCTTTTCTCCGCGGTTTCAAGCTCCTCCCGCGTACCACAGCATCCGGGAAACTCACTAACGAGCATGTCGGCGGGTGTTCTGGGTCACCTCGTGAATTGACGTCCCTGTCATTCAAATGGCAACTCGCATCACCTGACACACCATCAATCAACATTGCATTAACATATGGTGGCCGCCGTCGCCCAAATGCCTTGTAAGTTGACATATATCCTTGAGATGTTTATACACATTATTGTCCTCATATATGTTACGGATCGAACGATGACAGATGCTCGCAGTCACGATATTGGTACACCATCGATAAATGTCACAGTCGATCTTCGATCCGTATAATTATCGAAACTGTGGAAGTGCCGCAAGAGGATCGAGCTTGAACATCAATAAGCTCCGATGGCTCAGTGGCAGAGCGAGCGGGCGACAACCGCGAGGTCACCGGACGTCGAGACCGGATCGGAGCAACATGTGTGCTCGAGCTCGCGTTGACGTTCGGGTATTGTACAGTGAAAGTCCCATCACAGTTTATATATCCTAATATATATATGTGTGTTATAGTGTAGGTGCGCGGCGCACATATGTGCGCCAATTTCAGTACAGGTGCGCTAACAGTGGTAAAACGTACACTGTAAAACCATATAAACCAACGATGATAGCAATTAACGCATCGTGAAACACATCAGGTTTAAGATATTCAATATCGTGGGCGTTTTGTGTGGTTTTACAGTGTACGATTTACCACTGTTAGCGCACCTGTACTGAAATTGGCGCACATATGTGCGCCGCGCACCTACACTATAACATATATATACAAAGTTGTATATATATATATAGTGGCATACCATATCCGAATGTCTTTCCGTTATATGTCGATGTACGTCCTCGTCATTTCATGCCAATTCATGTCTGCGGAATGCATGCTATCCCACACCAAGTGATATACCATAATGGAACGTCGTCTTATTATATGCCGATGTACATTATTGTCAATTTCCATGCCAATCTATGTCTAGTCAGTACGTGGCATCGCATGTCTATAGGATTATGCGGGACCAAATACAATTAATCGGTGTTGTATGATTGCTTCGTCGTAGCATCGATTTAAATTGCCCACACTAGCACGATTTGATACTAGCGAGCTACAACATGCATGCAACCACAAACGGTTACACATATTTCTCTCGCTCCGCTCTCGCATACTACCTACGAGCATCGCGTGCATTGGCCTCACAAACATAGCCTACACATACAACAATTGCATTTCTCACATTATGCATGTTGATCCGATTCCTTGTTAAGGATGGTTTCCATTTCGTAGCTGCGGATCTCGGGAGGCAATGATGATAACCTCGAAGCAGCATCGTTCGGTGCACAGGTCGGAGGTGCAACGGCCAACTTGCTTCTCAGACCATTCTTCGATGGTACAACCCTAGAATACTGCGATCACAATCAAGGCGACCTGCAATCCATACCAAATAATCCCAAACAATTTACGCAATGTCCCAAGGAGACGACATTAACACAAATCGGTCGCGGGACCAAGATCGACAAGAGGCAACCCTGGCGTTATGGGGCCAGGCGCAGGGCGAACGTAGGTACCTAGCTTATTTGAGGGGCCTGGGGCAAGGAGAAAGAGGGGTGCGACCATAGCTTTGGGAGCGCCTATTCAACCTCCGCTCGGTACATGTCATACTTCCTGGGTTCGTTTTGGTCATGTCATCTCGCGTTTCGTTTCGTTTCTGTTCAGACCGAACATGAAGAAGCGGATCATTTTTGTCACACGATTGGTCATTTTTGTCGCAAGCTGTTTTGTCGCAAGTGTGACAAAAATGACCACCTGGCCCTTTTTGTCGCCGGCCTGCGACAGAAATAATCCAGTGGTCATTTGTTGTCGCAATTTTTTAGCGTAATTTTTAATAATCTTATTGTCGCAAACGCATGCACATGGTGGGACAAACACTCAAATTACTGCCAAGAGCTGCTGTAACTCCTCAGCCACCAAATAAACCATTAGATGACATCTCGATGCTCTGCGGTATGATCCAACGTAGCATGTATGTGTGCGTGCTCGGCATGACATCCATCGATGTCCTCAAATATCTCAATAAGTCGTCTCGTGGGTGCATTTTCATCTAACACCCCTCCTGGCGTGTTGTGAATAAGCTGCAAGCGAAGGCCAGCAAGGTATGATGATGAAAATATCTCCTCAATGTGATCCTCTTCGCATACATGGTCGCCCAACAAGATAGGCTCAAGCGATATGAAGCCCCAGCTCACGACCAAGTCCTAGATGCAAGCATGTGCCAGCTCTCCCCCAAGCGCGCGCAATGGTGGTGATCTGACCATATGAAGTCCACATCGTGTGTTGTACTCACTGCAGCAGGTTTGCTGTATCCGCCAACTCTCCGAGCTGTACGTCTACTGCCATAACAAAGTAGCCCCCCAGTACGTACACCTGTACCGTGGTTGCCAAAGTGCGCGCGTGTTCTCAAGGCTCGCCAACCATACACTGTGTGCGCCCGCTATCTGTGCAGTGCGCTCACTGACATGATGTGCATCATGATGCCACCAGTCCGTGCAACCATCGGTACGTACACCTGTACAGTGGTCGCTAAAATACATAATAGTAGCCTCGTACCATCGGTGTCGCGCTGCGCGTCTCTTCACCCGACGAGCTTCACCCTCTGGCAACTTCACACTGCCATTGCATTTCAGCCACCTGAGGCACCATTCATCAAACTGGCATTTTGCCACACAATCCATCGGCCTTGCGCTACGAACGACTGTACCCAGTATCTGCGCTCAAAGCATGAATCAAACGCCCTGGATCCCAGCGTAGCCATCATATAGTAATCACTCACTTTTAAGAAAACTCGACGGTTAGAAAGCAGCCAGCGTTTGGG